TGTGTAAATGATGTCAAACTGTCTTTCTAAATCTAAAAGTTGAGCCGCTCAGTTGTGAAACGAGAAAAAAATGACGCGAGAGAAAAAAAAAAAACTGCAAAATAAAGTGGGGAAAACTCAAAAACTTCTCTGGCTGAAATTTGTGTGTCCCCCTGAAAGAACAACAGCACCAGGAAAATGCATGTAGAGAAGCGGAATTTATTCATAAAGATCTTTGCAGTGCACACTTTTAACCACTCGCTCTCTTGTCATTCCCGGGGAAAAGCCTGAACACAACATGTTTGTAGAGACAGAAATTTTTAGACGAAGCTCTGTGAAAACACACCGAGAGGACATTCAGTCAAGAGGACACGCACGCCACCGGACAAAGCAGCAACTTCTCCCTGGGTTTGGAGGATAAATCCGATAAATTAAAAAGCGAGGGATGAAAGTGTCCTGTAGTCAGTGGTCCTAAAAGCGGACGGTTTCGGACCCGCTCCGGAGAAGAAAAGTGCACGACGGGGAGTTGAAACGTCACCGGCCCGTCTTTCTTTTTTTTTAATCCGACGCCGGGGAGGTAACGATGGGTGGAGCCGGGTTAACGACAGCTGCTCACAGGCCTCTCCACAACTTGTACTTCGTCACATTATTACGTTTATGTACAGTACATTCAGAATAAAGCCTTTTTTCATTTTTTTTTTTAGTGCAGATACGTGAAAACGGCGTGCTGCCTTTTGCTCCGACCACCTGACGTCTTTGCAAAAAAAAAAAAAAATAGCACGGGGGGGGGGAAATAAATATATAAATCGGGAAATCTCTGATTTACACAGCCTCACTCCGCATTTACACATCTGTTATCCAGCTTTACATCCGGTGGAAAAGAGGACACGTGTCCCTGTCACATGTGGTGAGTGTATTCCAATCATCTTTTTTTTTTTTTTTTTTTTTAAAATTTTTTTAATCCCCACAAAAAACAGGGTTTTTTTTTTTTGTGTGTGTTTGTGTTGATCACAGACTAGTAGCATGCGTTTTAAAAGGTGCTTAAAAGGAGCATAAAACCGATTTTAAAAGACAGAAAAACGTAACGGATGGTGGCACTACTCCCAAAGTTCATCAGAGCTACCTTAGAATGAATCTGCCTTAATACTTAATGCTTTCATTTCGACAAAAAAACTAAACCAAAAAAAGTGCTTTTCAAAAGAAGGTGCTAATAATGATTGTTTTTCTTTTGGACGGGACGGCTAACACCGACTGCTACTCGAAAGGAACCCGGCGGCCTTCACTCGATCTGGTCGAAGTTGAGCACGTGGCCGTCGAAGTGCGTGAGGACGTGCCTCTCGAAGAGCTGCTGCTGGCAGTTGAGCGGGAACTGCTCGGAGCAGACGGGGCACACCTTCCAGTGGCTCTCCACGTGCTGCTCGAAGCTGCGCTGCTCGAAGTGCGGCGGGAAGATCACTTCGCACAGCGGGCAGCGCTTGTGGACGTCACTGCTGGGGGGGGGGAACACACAAAAAAGAAATCCATCTAAAAAAATGCAGCCTGGTTCTTATTGTTCTGCTCTGCGTCTCCTCGCTCTGGCCTCTTTGTTGGCTTGTTTTCTGTCAATTCAGCCACCCCCCCCTCCCAAAAAAAATATATTTTATTTTCCTCATATTTTTAATGGTATGAAATAAATCTAAATGACCGAGTTATTCCATGTATGTGAGCCAAGAGGGAACTATTCAGCGAATTTTACAGCTTCTTATATAGATGCTCTGAATTAAAATGAGAATTTTCATCATCGAATAGGTTTCAAAAAGGCTGACTGGTGGCATTTTTCGAACAGTGAGTCGAAACGCACTCTGACCAGAGCGTCGTTGCAGAATAGAAAACGAAAAAAAAACCCATAAAAAACTATTAAACGCGTCCAGTTCATCCCTGTTTTTTCTTGCCTTTATGACACACGTCTGCTGGTCTGTGCGGCAGCGAAAGGGTTAAATGTGCAGACTGTTGCCCGTAAAATGGCTCCGGAGTGAGAGCGTGAGCGTGCGCATGCCGGTGCCTGCTCAGCCTGCTGAGGCTGACCAGTTCTTACAGGAAACTCAGAAATACTCTGACGCACACTCAGCCGTGGTGAAAAGGGGAACTTTGCGAAACTGGCGAGAATAACCCCACTCCATTCTAAATCGGTTTAAAAAATACAGCCGGATTCTCGTTTTTTCTTGTTCGTGTTCGGAGGTTTCGTGGAGTTACCTGGAGTCGAAGCAGAAACTGCCCCTCGCCTCGCTGCGTCTGCTAGCCTGGTGGTCACACGGCTGCTGGGGGGCGCTCTCGCCAACCTTTGACGAACACGCAAACAGAGAGCAAATCAGAGCTAAAAAGAGCTTCACCTGGAAACAAATGTTTCTCAAATGGCAGCGAGGGGTCTCTGATTTGTACTAGTCGAGTGTTCCGCCTTCTCCCCAAACAACGACGGATAGAAAGCGACGCCCTGATGCTCTGACACTGATCTCAGGTCTATCGCCATGCATACCCCCCCCTTCCACCCCCCACCTAATTACTCTCTCAGTTCCCATTATCTTCCTCTCTCTTCAGCTCTGAGGGACTGACATTAATTAGAACTGCATGCAAATGAGTTCATAGGCTCTGTCTTTTAGGGGCAAACTGAGTCTCTCTGCGGTGGGTGAGGGAGGGGGTTGAGGGAGGAGGGGGGGGGGCTCTGGGGGAAACGGCCTGTCAGAGGGCCAGCTTAAGGAAAGATGGCCCTGTCAGCGAATCGCAAAGCTCCCTGCTGCCAAACGAGGCCCGTTGGGTTGTTGGTTGTCCCTTTGAGGAGGAGGGGGGGCGCGGGGGTTGCCTGCTCACCTCTTCCGGCTCCTCCGGCTGCCGCTCGGCATTCTCGGGGGGGCTGGTGCTGCGCGAGGGCTGGATGCAGACCACCTCCCGGTCCCAGCCCGGGGCCCCCGGCCCGGGGCTGGGCGGCGTGATGGGGGGGGCGCAGGGGGCGGCGCAGGGCGGGGGGGCTTCGGGCGGGGGCCGGGGGGTGTGCTCGGGGGACGGCGCGCCGTCCGGCCGA